CTGAAGAACAGTATCTTCTGAAATATTATTCAACCATGTTTCAGTTATTGCGACAAGAATAGGTTTATCGGACTGAATGTGACTAACTATTAGATCAAATTTCAGTAATGAGAGAGGAGAAGTCACATTACGATCAAGTTTTGCTAGTACACTATTTGTGTTTATAAGTAGGCAACTATCATTGATATACTGATGTCGTCTATCGTTTTCTTTTCCTTTTTTAAGGAATGTCATAACAAAATTTTCCCTCACAAGTACATATAGTCACAGTCCTAGAAGTTTTAGACTGAAATGATTTATCAGGATCATCTGAAGTTAACAGACTTGTTCTCGGTGCTACGACTGTCATCGGTCGAATACCTGAGCATTTATCTGATAAATCTACATAACAATATCATCGTGATTCTGAATATCCTATCCACAGTCACAACATATATTAACAACCACATGGGTTTTCATTGACACTAATTCTCTCTATTTGATCCTCCATTTATCACTAAATGACAACAGCTATCATCTGGCTTTCATGCGTGCAAGAACTGGAACGATTTAAACCTAACAGATTTGTCTAAACGACTGGATGTTTTTCGAGTGTACGATATTCCAAGAAAATATAATAAAATTGAAATATTTTTTGTAAATAATACATTGAATGTGACTTGAAGATTACTCGTGAACCATAACGAAAACGACTGCTGTCTTTTCTCAGATCAATCTATGTAGACTGGCTAACATGTTCTATCGAACGGCTTACTCTAGATTTCTGCTAGAAAAAAAATGTTTTTTCGGATTTAGACCTGAAGGAGACTCTTCCTCGCTCGATGAGTCATATTTTTGTGCAATTCACATGAATTTATGTACCTATGACAAACTTCATTTTTCATTTTTGGTTATACACCAAAGAAATCAAAAACGAGCAACAATTGCAACATTCTGTTTAGTTTTCTGGAATTACTCAAACGTTTGATAGAATTTTCTGCTATATACAGGCTTCATGAGTCTATTAACAATAACAATGATAGGAAAAAAGTGTGTTATTCATTACAGTCTACTCGACTTAATTGGACGCCTATGTTTTAAACGTTTTTCGAATATTATCATATTTTGCCATGGATATAATTCAATAACTTTTATAAATTTAAAACCATTAGCTTCTAATTCCAATTTTGCTTGTGATACAGACATTGTATGATCATTATAAACAGATTTTGTTGAATCTACTGGACGATTTTCAATTAATATTAAACGTCCATTCCGTTTTAACGCTTTCCGTAAACCTTTTAATGTTGGTACGGGGTGTGATACTTCATGGTATACTTTAACCATTATAATTAAATCAAAGAGATTATACGGAAGATTTGGTCGCTTTATTGTAGCTAATATAGGTATAATATTTTTTATATGTTGTTCCTTTGCATTTGTGACTATTTGACGAAGCAATGAACTATGAATTTCGCTAGCATAAACAGTTCCGTTGGGAGCTACTTGTTTTGCTAATTTAAATGCAATACGACCAGTACCAGCACCAACATCAGCAACAATCATATCAGGATGAAGATCTAACAATTCAATCATTAAGTCAGATTGTTCCTTTGATCGAGTAGGACGATCATGCCGTTGTAATAGATATTGTTCTTCAACATCATTACCTATATGTGGACTCATATATAATGTTGGTTTATGTATAAAGGACTAAGGGTGCATATGGAGTCGAAATAGATTTGGCTGGAGATTTTTTGCAGACGAGTTGAAGAAAAATCTTTTTTGCAAGTTACTTATTAGCATAAGGACATGGACTAAATCGAAAATATGTCTTTTCCGTTACCGAGATAGGCGGCATTATCCGTAAACTACCTTTCCTGCCGGCTACTTATAATCATACCTTTATATGAATAAAATAACCATAAGTAGCTCGAGTACAGTATAGAGACATGTTGCCAGGTGGGAGCTTCCTTTTCATTGGTAGAAATCATGAAAAAATCAGAAGTCCGACATGGTTAGAAGTGGAAAAAGTCCAAAATTTGAAAAATCTGCGCGCTCTCGCCGCCCACGGAAGACGTTTTTATAAAATTACAACTGCCAGAGAATCTAAGTACAAAGCTACAGCTGCCTAAATAATCAATTTCACCAAAAAAATCNGGAAAAGACATATTTTCGATTTAGTCCATGTCCTTATGCTAATAAGTAACTTGCAAAAAAGATTTTTCTTCAACTCGTCTGCAAAAAATCTCCAGCCAAATCTATTTCGACTCCATATGGGCACTTTTACTTTGTTTTATTTTGCTACGTAAAGTAAGGAAACAAAACAAAAATTTTTACTTTACGTTTGGATAAAGAACGTAAAAATTATTCTTACTTTCAGAAGTAAAAATGAAACAGAAATTTCTGTTGGTAAAGGTAAAAGGAACGTTTAGTTACTGAATAAAGTGATAAACCATGAATTATTATTTGTTGCACTTAAGCAAGTAGCATAGTCTGTGATTTATCTGATAGTCTAAAATATTTCATTTATAACTCCGCATCTGTGGCTATAGCCAGTTGATTTCTGGAAAAGTCAGGATGAGCACAATACGTTAGCCATATATAATCTTATGAAGCTATCATGGATCAAAGAGAAAGCCATGACAGTTCTGAGTTCCCTTCTAAAAAAATCATTGAGTTTTCTGTGGCTTGTACTTATAGATAAACAACAGTTGGGACATATATACCGGCACATCTTATGGTCCAAAGGGAAAGCTGAAAAGTCATGGTAGTTCTGAATGCTCTCTGAAAATTTATTTGAGTTTTCATCGGCCGAAAAACCTATTTTTTCATACGTTTGACTGTGGTATTGGCAACCATAGCGAGAAAATTAAATGATATCTTTTTCTAAAAAGTAGCTTAGTATAGAGTACAACTCCTGCTCTTCAAACTGCTATAAAAATTTGGAGAACGGCCTGATGTTCGACTAACAAAAGTTGTAGATACCGAGCGTTTTTGACCAAAAGATGATTATGAGAAAAACGCTGAGCAGGTTGTTTGGCATATTTTATTCAGTATAATGTTTGTAATTGAGCTGAAACCTAGACATATTATATATGAATCAAAAGTATTCATCAAGAATACATCAAACAGTGGATATGGCGCCATCTATCGTTGTTTCACTTTGTCAAAAGTAATTTTCTAGATTTATATGCATTTTTCTATAAAAAAATTTCAGAAAACCGTAAAATTATAACCTCACTCATATTTGATAGCTCAAGTTGTAATTTTCTTATTCTCCAATGTTCAATGTTGAAAAATAAGAAAATTAATGATTACGAACTAGTTTTGAAATGACTGTCATTACGGAATCCCACAAGTTACAACTAATTTTTGACTGAAGTCATAGCTTAACAAGTGTAACAATTTTCAAACATAAAGTTTTCAACTATTAAAAATCTGACATGCTGAATATTAGACTGAGAAGTTAGAGTATGCATAAGATTTTCGGAATAAAGATGGAAATCAATATGTAGATGCTCTTTACCTGTTAATACGACCTCATTTCTGCTTCTACTTTGGCGAAAAAATCTATATCGTTTTGCATCAATTACATCTCCGACGTCAATATTTGATGAGCCAATTTTCTAAAATACGAGTTCATTTTTGGTAAAATAGATGTTCTATTGATAAAAATATTTTTTGAAATAAATGGAAATTATATTTTCTTACCTCTGAATCAATAGTAGAGCTAAGATAAATAGTAATAAAGAAGCAAAGAAAGGTCAATAACAAAGTTTTCATTAATATTTTATTTTTTATTATCTACAATAGACATATTAATATAAATCGTCCGCATTATTATCTACAATTCTATGAAAATTGTATAAAAATGATCGAATGCTAGACAGTTGAATGTTCATCATGGATAATGAAAACAAATAGTGTTTGGTCAGGTTTTATAACTGTAAAATGTGTAATATTGTGCATTATGCCAAAAATCCTGTTACACATAGCTTCGAGATGCCTTCAAAAACTCACTAGGGAATCACCGCGATATTTTGATATAAGTAAATATTGATTTTTTTGAAGAAAGAGCGTCTTTACGCCAACAAGCGTGTATCATAAACATGACACAGAAAGTTTCATCATGGACACTACATTGTTGTTCAATGATTAAAATTGAGCTAATAGCAATCTAAGTGGTCATGCAATTCAAAAATGTGATGTTCACTTGTGTTTTCTTTTGTATATATTTATATGAAAATAAAAAAAAAATAAAAAATAAAAATCAAACTCAAATTAATAAAAAGCACATCAAACATTATTTTTATCCTTATATCGGTTTTTATCTTTAACGTGCATCCTTTACACTTATATATATATATACTATACAAGACAAAGGAGAGTAGAAGAAAGAAAAAAGTTGTTGATTTTGATGTGCAAAGAACTTACCTAGATTACATAACGTGTAAAGAACGATTGATATTGATGCACTGAATAACACACGTTATATAATATTAGACGACACACTGAGTTTTCTTATAGATTCTAAGATAATTGAACAACTTAATGCTTTTTTTACTTTAAACTATGTTTACTTTTCAAATTTATCGTATCGATCGCACATCGAACGAAAGCCAATGTCTCAAATGAGGAGAACAAGAACCTGAATGGAGCTTCTATACAATAAGCTCATCAAGCGCTATTCCATTGTTTCTTTCAATTAACTCAGAACAATAAAAGAATGAAATTGTGCACCGTAATATTGTATTCGACCTATGAAAATTCATCTGAGACTACTAAGCTGAACTTAACAGTTAATCGTTTCAATACTTTAACATCAACAATTTGTCATCTAATGTTGTCTTTCGTATTTTCGGTAATATCGTTCGCGGTAATGTCGTTCGTGGTAATGTCGCTGTATCATTCAGTGTAATAAAGAAACTAATCGTTCGCTCATTCACAACACAGCTAGGAGAATGAAATCGATTGTAGTTAAGGCGGTTAATCATCTATAAGTTACACGAAAAAAGTAGAGCAATAGGTTCGTTGTCACATAACCTTAGGTTAACCAAGCATTAACGATTATACGTTAGTTAGGAACTGTTCATGGGCTGAATGTTCAGTGATCATTTTGACTAGAGAATGATTATTTAAAATATTGTATCTTTGTAATGTTGTTGATGATGTGTTAAATATCTTGCATTATGTCTTTGAATATAGATTGTGGAAAATATAGATTGCTGAAATTCTCGTACGAAATGCATTGGGTATACCTACAATAAATGAAATGGCTAAATCACCAATCAGAATAAATTTTGTTGAAGCACCTGATGTGACACTACGTGGATTTTGAGTATTAATGAATTGTTCATAAACGGCTATTACTTCATTGGAAAAATTGGACTGTTACAAAACAGTGTCGTAGAAATGAATCAAAATCTGCAACGACTGATCACAGCACATGAAGCCGCATATGTTCGAATAAGACAAGTAAGAATTATTGTCTCAACTGCTCTTAGAGTTGAAATTTGCTTAGTCTTGTTAACTTCATAACCCCATTTTTAATATCCCTAGTGAAACCTGCGCTGTTTTCAAGAGCGATGAAATTGAAACACGTATCGAAATACATTTGTTCAAGTTTAGCTGTTGTCTTAGTTAAGCTAAAAAATTAAAATACGAAAGACTTTTCCATTATAAACATTATTTTCTTTAGCAAGTTGGCAATCCAAATATGACTATGTCAATACTGTTAACAAAGGTTTGAAAACGCATCTATCAATAATGAATCTGGATGATTAATGGAGAAGATGTTATTCGGTGTTCAACTTAACCGATCTACATCATATTTCACAATAAGAATGCAATATTTGGAAAGATTTTTCTCAGCCATCGAACATCATCATGAATTACCCTCATTATTAGACAAGGATAATGCCGCTCGTCGGAAACTTCCATCAGCGGCAATGACCGTAGACATTATGCTTAAAAAAATTCATTTCGGATCAAGATGCCGGTAATTCAAAAATACAGAAAGAATTTTTTTTTCGCTTTTTTGGCATGATTGGGTAGACCTCAGCGAGTTGCATCGGAAAAATGTTTATTATTGACATTAAATTTCACAGTTTTTTATGTATTTTAAAAAAATGGGTATTTTTAAATCTTTTCACCAAAAAATGACTTCATAAAACGTAGGATTATGTTTTTCTGATGCAGCTCGCCGAGCTCTATCCAATCGTGCCAAAAAAGCGAAAAAAAAATTCTTTCTGTATTTTTGAATTACCGGCACCTTGATCCGAAATGAATTTTTTTGACGATTTATATATTATTGTCTGTGTCGGCTTACAAGTGTTCTAGTACAATGATGTAATTAATAAATCTTTTGTTTTTAATGTTACAGGCTCACTAAATTTATCAAACAGAGTACAGTGCAAATGATGGTTTTTCAAACCTTTTCTACACGAAAAATTAGTAATTGAGTTTTCTACTGAGCTATAAAATCAAGTATTTTCGAGATTCAATGCGTGCTAAAAACGTAACCTACTGATAATCATTTCAAGAACAATTAGTATTTCATCATTAATGAAAGAAACGAGATCAAGTTCGAAATAGTGATACATGGATGACAGCATTCTCGAAAAGATTTAACTGAATGATTTGAACTCGCATCATCGTCGGATCGCTTGAAGACGTTCGGCAAGAGATAACGCTATGCAAACGAGAGAGATGTAACACTTTATGAAACCGAAACTCGTCCGAAGAATGAACAATATCGATGATCTGTAGCTCCAGAAGTCATCACTGTGCTACTATGATTTCATTCAAAATTGTTGAGATTTGTACAGAAAAGTCTAGTTGATACGTCACAACTGTTTGAAAATATGACCTCTTTCCCTCTGCTTACAACCCAATATCGAGTATTCGAACAGACTTACGCCCAGGGAGCCCGATTACGTAACCAACTGATGATCTGAGGTACACATAAACGAAGAGCGGCAGTCAGTCCGACGTAGAGACCCAACAGCGTGATTAACACTTTTAATACATCATTGCGTTGTATGAATGTGTATGTGCACGAACTGGGTGCACATCGTGTGTAATAATTGGAGAACGAACTTGCTGTATACCAGTGCTCGATGAATAACTCGTTAATGAGCGTCTCGATGAGACTATTGGGTGGAAATCGGGTTTGATTCATGTTGTCCGTCCAGCGTTCGCTCTTTCCGAGCTCAGTGCGACCTTTTTCCTGATATAAAAAAATTAGCATTTAATTTCAATACGTTTGTTATTCTTGAAATGATTACATTATATAAATACACCTGACAATTAGTGACGGTACCACGGGTGGGCTAGGGTGGTTCTGAAACCATTTGAGTCCACCCTGAAAAATTTTTAGAATTTTGAAAAACAGTCACATTTTCTTTTCAGTATAGATGACGCAATATGTGCTTTTTAAGTGTAGAGAAGGATTTGCATTCTTTTCAATTGGTTTCATTAACGAATCAACCAGATATTTCTTTCGTTTTACCACTTCCGCTTTCTCTCCGTTTCTGAAAAATAAACACTACCCTTTTTCCTTTCCGACCACAGTCGAGCTGAGCCCACCCTGGCTACAATTCCTGATACCGCCGCTACTGACAATTTGTTCAAAATATCACAATTCCAAAAATATGTTTATTGTATTCTTTCAAACTTCTGTATGCGACTATTAAATGTATCTGAAACGTATAAATTAAGTTGTGAATCAAATGCAACATCAGCTGGGTAGCCTAATTCATGGCTACTATTTCCAAATTTCCCTGTTCCTGCGATGGTAATACCAGATACAGAATCTGGACAAAACATTTGTATTCGATGATTTTGACAATCAGCAATATATAAATTACCATATTGATCAAGAGTGATACCTTCTGGATAAAATAATTGAGCTGAACTATTTCCATATCTGCCAGGTATACCAGCATAAATGTTTCGCGGTTCATAATCACCAATAACCCATTGTGTGATTGAATGAGAGTCGTGATTGGATATATAAAAGGTTTCATTTGGTTCATCATAGTATAAACCCAATGGATTGTTTAATTGATAGGGATTTATACCTTCGCCATTACCACCCTACAATAAATAGTAAAATCAAGTTTATTCAAATGATTTGTTTAGCTTCGTCAACAGATAAAGAAAAATTCAATGTCGTTTATCAGTCGATCGCCATAACTCTGAACTTATTTTGTTGTAGCAAACTTGAATAATTTGCGTTTTTATGAAAGTCTTTGATAAATAAATGATCTCATATCAAAGCGTAGACAATCAAATAATCTTTCTCTCGTGCCATAAAATTGATATTGACAACTTACAGCCATTATTGTACCAGCAGATGTTTTTGGATCAAATGTAGATGGCCATCTTGTTATACGTTCATTTTGTGTATCTGCAACGATAATATTTTTCTTTGAATCAAGCAAAACTCTACTCGGATAACTAAATTCATTTAATGCTGAACCTCGAGTCCCATTTCCCGCAACTGTTTCTCCAGTTTTGGCATTCTTCTTCCAAAATTGAATTCTTTGATTTTCCCAATCAGCAACAAAGACATTTTCATTTTCATCGGCAAAAACATCTGCTGGATTCCCTAATGTATCTGGTGTCGATCCGCCTGTCCCATCCGAGTGTCCAGCTGCTGTTTGAATTTCACCATTTGGATAACGTTTTTGGATGCGATTATTGGAATTATCAGAAACATATAGGATTTGTGTTTTAGGCTCGATAAATAAACCTGTAGGCAAGCTTAATTGATCTCGACCTGAACCATAACCATTGCCAATGATTGTTGTTGCTGCTGTACTCCACTTAAGATTGCCTGGACCTAATAGTTAAAAAGCTATTCGATTTTTAGATGTAAAACAAATTTAGACTTTTAAATTTGCTCCACTGATTTCACACATGAACTCGTATGAAATATGATTTTAAAAGTCTGCAGAATTTCTGGTACGGTGTTAGTGGCAATTTTTTTTTCGATTGCAAAATATATATCCAAATGTAGGAACCCGATTTAGAATAATATTGAACTATGAACGTTTCACGTTTACTTCGATCTGTATTATCGGCTTGCGGGGCTGTATTTTTGCCCATTTCAGTCGCAATGCAAGGTGATATTCTCCTATTCGATTTGCGGTCTTGAACTATCTTCAATAAACTATTGTCTTTGGTCTCGTTCTAGTACCTAGACATATATAATGTTAAGATATACCCTTGTAGAAGTTTAAAATATTTCACGACATAACGATATATTCACTTAATTTGCACTTACATTCGCTTGATTCCTTATAGAAATGCTGACCTAAAAAAACAGACAAATTAAAGAGAAAGAAACTTCTGTTTTTCGAATGTTATCATGTACTTACCATTATCTGCAACGATTATTCTAAAAAGTCAAAAAAGAGAGTTATCTGTTCAGCTCAACTTGATCTTTGATACTTACGTGAATAGGCATGATAAATATCGCAACATCATTTTGTTAACTTTGTCACTTTGTTGTTCTTTACAGAGAAATGACGAACATCTGCGTCTCTCACACCTTTTAATTTTATATCTTTCTTTATCAATGCAGTATCATTTACGTGTAGCAAATTTTCATATCAATTTATGACACAAGAAGAAATGTGCGGAATAATTTGAACCAAATACTTAAAAAACAAAAAATAATATATTTCCATGGATTACTCTGAGATGATACCCGAAACTAGGGATGTTCGGTTCTCGGTTCTCGCTAAGAACCGGAACCGCGGTTCGGTTTTGCGTGAGGAACCGGAACCGCGGTTCTCTTGTTTTCGGTTCCTCAGCTGGAACCGGAACCGCGATTCTCTTATTTTCGGTTCTTCATCGGGAACCGGAACCGCGGTTCTATAGACGGTTCTTTTTATTTGGAACCGAAACTTTTTTAATCACAGATACTATAGTTTTTA